CTGCTGTCAGAGATGTTTCGTGAGCTCACGAAAAGCTTCTCCAACAGAACCCAACAACAAAGCTGAGCCAGCTACATGAAGTACATGCCCACGGCTTGCGCAGCTATCTCGGGATGCGCTGGAAACCATGCAGACGAGTTTCATGCAGTTTTGCTGGCGAGTAGCCCTTTGCTGGCTGTCTTGGGTTTCGGTTCAAGCCGCCGCCAAAGCCGCGCGCGGAGCCGTGGAGGAGAGCTTTGAAGATTCTATAAACCACTCTTTAGTGGCCAGTGTGCTCATAGGAGCCGGAGACCTAGTCCTCGTGCAATCTGATGGTTTGGGTTTGTCCTTTGCAACAAAGAACCGCACAAGGCACGACCTTTGGGTTTCCAGGTTTCCGCCATGCAGCCATTTGAGATCATTTGAGTATGCCATGTATCCGTCATTGCCATGGCACTGGTAGGCTTGCCAGCCGAGGAGGGCCCAGTGAACCGTAAGTGGCCCGAACATCTCTTGTCGGCCCTCCTGAGGAGCACGTGGGAACAACTTACCGCTTTGAGATTCTCAGAAACAGGCACGGACATGCAAACCCTTGGTATAAGTGACTATTCGTGACTGATGTGCCTCCTTGATACGTTCTGCTCTCCTGCAGCCCTGACAGTAGCTTGGAGCATGCTGGCACCTTGGAGGACAGCTGCGCAATCTCGCCATTCCAAGCGAATGCCAGCATCACTCTGGTGCACTGCTTAGATCGGTGCAGGACCGCCTTAGGCACCGCGAGCGCTGCTTTGGCACCCTCCGAGCATCCTGGCAGGTGAAGTCGCTTGTCTCGATAATCTTAAGCCAACTGTTGAGTGTGGAAGTTGTGCTTTCGCATTTTGACGCAACGACCTCAGCAACCGAGGAACTGCTTCAGTGCATGGCGGTCGCTTGTTGAGACACAGAATGAAGCGTTTCGAGCGCACCCTTGCAGCACAAGCTTCTTTCAAGCTCTTCTCGCGATCGGTTGCATGTTCAGGGCCGGCTCTTTCAGGGGGAAGTCACCATCGCCCGGTATTTGTCGGGCTAGTGCCGTGCAAAGCTAAACACCTGCAGGCAGGAGGACCACGACGCCCAGTTGAGGGCAATCTTCGATTTGCAAGAGCGGCTTGCACAGAAGGACCGCACTCACTTTCTGAATCAGCTGTAAAGTGGCAGATCTTTCCATGTGCCGGCAAATGGCAAACTTCTTCTGGTGGTTTGCGTGACGTTCCTGAGGAGTTGGAAAATCGGCAGCTTTCTCTGATGCTGGTAACCAGCGAAAGAAAGCGGTCTCTTGTATGCGATAGTCTGTAGCAGCCGGTGCTGTGAGTATCCTCTTGCAACAGAAGGTCGACCCTGGCACACAGCGTGCACGTCATCCAGACGGGAGCTTCGGATCTCGTGATTTGCATACGGGTGCTGGAAGCCCAGGCAGACAGCAAGTCAGAACACGCAGTACATTGTAGTACCCTCCCAGTCTCGCAAATTGCGTGGCTCTGGTCTTGAGGTTTGCTGCCTGGCGGCGCCTCAGCGTGGAAGGTCGCCTGACTGGCACACTGCTCCGCATCGAGGCACTGTGCATCGAGCCGAGGTACAGATACAGAGCATGTTTAGAGATGTACATGTCAACGTGTCTATGTGCAAGCTCTGTTTAGTCCCATCTGTGTATGTCGTCGTATGTTCACATGCCTCCTGTGAGCATACTTAGGCAGATGAATTTTCTACAACCGCACACACGCTCGTGGATACACATGTGCTTGTACAGACATGCTTGATGCATACGCATGTGCATTCCGCAACTGTGGAGAAAACCAGAAGCTGCACAGAATCTGTTGATTAGATTGCTAGATAGACAGATAGATCGATAGATAGATACAGGAACCGAGAGACAGAGATAGAGATATAGATACAGATATAGACATACATGTATGCCTCTTGCTAGAAGGACAGATCAATTTGTCGTGGCAAACTGTGAACGACATGAGGGCGTGATACGAGACAACTGGCATAAGCACTATGTGTGATAATCAGGCACTGTTATGGGCAACATGCTTGTGGCTTTAGGGTACCATAGCAACACTGCCGGCTTTGTTACAGATTGTGCATCTCGCTCGAAAGTTCGAGGGTGACTAGAGCTCCAACTCATTTCCTCGCCCAGTCCTCGCCTTGTCAGGCATGTCTTCATCATCCTACGCCTCTGAGGACACGTATCGGCCAGTAGCTCCAGGTAATTCGTAGCCGAGCGCACGACTTCCGGACCTTCTCCTGCCTGGAGAAAGAAGAGTGCAGGTAAGCTTGATTCCCGGTTGATTGCGGATTCGCAGGCAGTCAACAAGTCCGCGAAATTACTCAGTGCAACGAGAACCTTCCCTCCACCTGACGGAATTGTAGCATGTTATGAGCCCTCATGCTTGGAGGTTTGTCGTTCAAGCCACGGCTCTTGCTTGCAGGAGGCATTGGAGCAAATGTGTCTTGCGATTTGCCTTTGCAGTCGCCAAGCTCTGAGTCCTAGGTGGGACATACGGTTTAGCGGGTCAATGCGTGGCGGACATCAGAATCACGCAGCTTCCAGTGTTATCCAGAATGCGTCAGCCCGATCTCGACGTAAGCGACCCGAATGTGAACCACCCAATCCAAAAGAAAGGACACACTCTTCGTCGCTTTGTATCTGTCTTGACTTCGTTAGTCAAGCTGTGGTCATCGTATGAAAGAAGCAGGAATGGCAACCATGCGCGACTGTCAGCCAAAAGTTTGGTCACAAAGGGAACTTGCCCCCAAGCAGCTTCGCCATCCAACAGAAGCCATCGAGAAAGCTCGACGAGCTACGGTTATTTCCATGCCCAAAGGCCCAAAGGTGTGTCGAGGAGCTGTTGCTTCCAGTTGCAAGCTATTGCATGCTCATTTATGTGCAGTTTCGGCAAGAAGCTCTTTGCCACTTCTGCGCTCGTCCTCCCAGCCGCCGCCAAAGTTGCGTGCGGAGCCTTCCCAGCTGAGCTCAGGCAGACAAGGTGAATCTAGTTCCTCTTTCATGGCCCGTGATTGTGGAGGTAGTGACCCATCCTCTATTTTTCCACTTCTAGAATACGATTCCAACATCCCTTGAGGCAGTGCGACAAAGCCACAGAGCCTCTTATTGTATGTGCAGGTACCTCAGCTTGTAGTTCCCGCCTTAGGCTGAACTTCCCCCTTCTTGTCAACCTCAAGCCGCAAAGCCGTGTTCTCCACGGATTCCCATGCGGTAGACTATGCAGCGTATCCGTCATTGCCATGGCACTGCTAGGCCTACCGGTCGAGGCAGCGACCTTGTTCCTGTCTGCCTTTTCAGAAAACTGCTAGAGCACCTTGAGCCCGACTGGAGCGCAAGACATAGGCTGAACCGTTTGCCTTTGCCGTTTATGGATTCAGGGGATAATGTGCCTTGTCCTCCGCCCGCAGACCCAGTTTCGGCCACAAACCCGCCAGCCAAACAGGCCACGTTTTGAACTTGCGCAGGTTGTTGCCTCGAAAGCATGTTATGTGTCGTACGGCTTACAGTACAGTTGCATGGGCACCGTGGACATAAGTGTTTACGGGGTCCAGGCTCTCAGTTTCCTCGTTCGGTTTCACATGCAAAACATGCATGGGTTTCAAGGAACTGCAAAAGAGGCAAGTAGCCATCACAGTGGATGCCACCCCGCTGCACGTTTGCTTTTTGCCGAAGAGCGACACGTTATCTCCTAAAGCCAGCAGGTTTCCAGCCACGTTGGTCGTTTAGTATCTTTGTTGCCGTGACTGTTTCGAGGTTCTCGTGTGTTCGAGGGTCTTCGAAGTTAGCACACAACTTTGAGGCCTGGTAGATAGATTGATAGGTAGGTAGGCACATAGATAGATAGATAGATAGATAGATAGATAGATAGCTGAAACGGACCATACCAGCGGCCCGTTTAGATGCGAATGGAATCAAAGGAACTCGAGTCCACGGAAATTTCTTGGAAAGGCCGTGCTGCGGGAACCAAGCCGGAATGCCCCGACAGATATCGGAATGGCCTCGTGTCCGAACCCGCATGGTCCCCTAAGACAGTGAACCTTGGGATCACACCTTGGCCCGGGCCCGGGCTCAGCGGCCAGAGCGGCAAAAAGTGTTTCTGTGCCAAGTTTGTGCTTTTTGGCCCTGTACAGGAGCGCTCGCCTCGTCGCTTCGAGCTCCGAAGCAGGCCTGGGAAGAGGGCATCTCGAGCTCACGCCTCGTGCACGTCCTCGAAGCTTGTTCTGAGCCGATGCGATGACCTGAAACTTTACACCAGGTCATTCTCCACACCGAGCCTTTCGCAAAAGGTTCCACGAGGCCAGAAGCTTGGCAAGGGCAGCGCACAAGCACTCGACGGTTGAGGAGTAGACTCTATCATGCTGCATTCTTCGCGGGAGATTGGCCACAAGTTGGCAGGTTCCGCATGGGCGTTAGGCGCTCGCCTCGAGATGCTGTCGTTGCTCAGATTGGCTCAGTCCGGATGTGAGCCTCAGGAGAGCCTGTGGCACTGCCACGTGCCACAGGGGCGCCGCGTATCCCGGGCCCGCGAGTGGCACGCACACGCACCCCAGAGGCCCCAGCAGCCCGTCCAGCCCCTACCCCAGTCGCCCGCAACTTGGAGGACTGCTGCCCGATTTAGCATTTGCGTTCCCATTACTGAAGTTGCATCATCACTTTGTGACCTTCGTGTACTGCACAGATTGGCACAGGACCGGCTGAGGCACCGCGAGCGCTGCTTCGGCACCCTCCGAGCATCATGGCGAGTGAAGTGGCTTGCCTGAGAACGGCAAGCCGCTACGTGCACCCGTGTTGACATGGCTTCTCCTCCACAACCGAGGAACTTCTTTAGTGCATGGCGGTCGCTCGTTCAGATGCAGAACGAAGCTCTTCGAGTGCACCTTTGCAGAACACGGATGACATCTTCAGGGGTGTTTACGTCTCCCCATGTCTTGCCTTCCTGTGGGCTTTGACATGGCTCAGCCACTGCACAGCCATGCCGACTCAGGCCTTTCTTCAGTTTCAGGGTAGCACATGAGCACTTCGGTACCGCCCCCCTTTTTTCGGAGGGTTTTAGTTGGCCGGAGAATGGGTTTAGGAGTTTAGGGCCGCTGTGCAGTCTGCCGTTTCGCGACTCCAGGCAGCAGGACCACGAAGCTCAGTTGCGTGCAATCCTCGATTTGCGAGAACTTCTTGCCCAGAAGGAGCGCTTTTCAGCTGGAGCTGGTAAGCACACAGCCCTTTGTGCTTTGTGCTCTGTTTCCGTTCCTGAGGAGTTGGAAGTTCGACAGTTGTCTGTGCTGCTGGCAACCAGCCGAAGAAAACGGTGCCGCCTTCGGCGACTATTTGACTAGTGTGTCAGGGCATCATAGGCCCACCTTCGCATGCTGCAGTGTCCCCCTGCAACAGAAGGTCGACACTGGAGCACGGCATTCACATTATCCAGACCGGCGCTTCAGATCTCGTGGTTTGCCTGCGGGTGTCGGAAACTCAGACAGAAAGCGAGTCCAGACGAGTAGTACACTCCCAGTTAGCTCACCTTCATGGTTTTGGAGAAGCATCACTTTATTTAAGTAGTACAACAACAGTATTCTGTAGAATACTAAATCTTCTTGACTAAGATGTACTAAGTTATATGTTATATTCCATTGTCTCAAGGTTGGGCGCCTGGCGGCGCCTCAGCCTGGAAGGCCGCCTCACCGGCGCGCTGCGGCGTGTCGAGGCAGTCTCCGAGATCCGGGCGTGGAAAGCTGTCAACGAAAGCATGTGCCATTGAGCGTATATGTATATGTACAAATAAAAATGAATAGATAAACAAACATAAGCATGTAAGTAAACATGTGAATAAATACATAACAAAAATACATGAATAATTAATTACATAGATATATATATATATATATGTATGTATATGCATATATGTATACATATATATATATACACACACATATACACAGGCACTATATCCCTGGCCACCTAGAATGAGCTGTGCACATATGTGCAAGATACAGACGAGCAGACACACAGACGCTGATGTGTATGTATACATGTGTATTTATATATATGTACATGCACATATTTCTGCATCTATATATGTATATGTATATGTATATGTATATGGACGCTTGCATCAGAGCGTGCATGATGCGTAGCACATGCAGCGATACGTTCGCATATGCGAAAAGTAGAATGGGATTTTGCCTACGACATAAACAGCTGGACATAAAGTAAAACAGGTTCTCGTATGTGCATACTTTTAAGGTGCATGCATGCGTTTGCATAAGCATATGCCCGCACATATGTACGTATGTATGTATGTATGTATGTATGTATGTATGTATGCATGCATGTATGTATGTATGTATGCATGCATGTACGTGGTCATGTGCTTCGTTTGCTCAGCGTATCGTACGCATATACCAGACATTCTGCGGTGTAGAAAGAGACGGCAGGCAATACCCGTGCTTGTACTCACTGTTAGCTGTAGGGAGTTGAGAAATGATGTTCTAGTCATTCTAGTCTATGGTGTCTAGAGACATAAGTAAAGTAACATCTGTACGAAGTCTTGTATAACATGCGAGCGAGTTCGACCATGGCAATGCCGAATACGGAGCCTGACAGTAAAACAAATTTAGGCAGACAGATGTATGCAGAGGTTATGATAACTATATAAGCAGCTTTGTGTGGAAAGCAAGAAGTCTAGAACTTAAGACTTGTGCATGTATGTCTGCCTGCCTGCCGGCCTGCCTGCCTGCTTGCCTGCCTGTCTGCCTGCCTGGCTGTCTGCCTGTCTGTCGCTGCAATTCGCTGCGCATCACTGTCACATAACACAGATGTGGATCACAAAGGTTAAACCTGGAAACATGCCGATACACAGACGGGCACAAACTACATAAACGCATGTGCGTGCCTTTGTGTTGAAGTCACGGCAGCTTACCTTAAGGCGGCCTTGAGTTCCAAGTTGCACGTGGGAGCGAGCATGAGCAGGCAGATGCCGAGCAACGAGAGGCCGCTCTTGACCCGTCGCTGGCTGTTTTTGTGATGCTTCTTATGTTTCTTGTCCTGTGTCGGGGCCGGCGTGCGAGGTTGTTGCAGGCAGACCCCATTCGGCGACTAATTGTGCACTCTGGAAGGCGAACTTGGAGCGCGAGCTGATGCTGCAACTCGAGGTTCGGTGCTGCACCGGTGCTTCCAGCATCTCCGAGTGTCCGGTGGAGGGACTTGAGGAGGGGCGCAGCATGGCAAAGATGGCACAGGGAGGCCCCTTTCGAGGCAGCACAACGACAACCTCATCCGAATCCACAGAACCGGAGCGCAAGTACGAGGCCTCGCAACGATCACCTCGCCCGAACTTACGGAACCGGAGCGCAGCCGTCACCTCTCTGACCGAGAGCCGAGAGACAAGACCCCCGAGACTCACTTGAGCCATGCTGTTTGCTCCAGTTGCGCAGCTGCTACGTCCCGAGAGTCACCGCTTTTAAGTTCTGCTCGCGTCAGCTGCGAGTCTGTGAGCTAGGAGGCGACGGCCACGATTCGTCGCCTTGAGGCCGGGCCGTGCACCGCTCCCGCAGGGCGCCGAAAGGCGGAGAGTCTTCTCGCTTGTCGTTGTCGGCAGGGGGAGCTCCGGTCCTCGGAGCGACGACATCGCGTCCTTTCCGAGGCTCCCTCCCCCTCTCTCTCTCCCTCCTTCGTATGATGTGGGTGCGGAAGGGCCCAAGGTGTGTGTGTTTTCTCTCTGTGCTCGCTGCATGCGTGCAGCTGCGCAGCTGCAGAGCATCTCCTGCGCAGGAGATCGCTTCCCTGCAGCGCCTGCTTGACGAAGCCGAGCTGCAGCAGCGGAAGGCCGGAAGAAGATGCGATGCGGAGCGATGCTTGGAGCGTATATTATATTATATTATATTATATTATATTATATTATATTATATTATAGTATATTATATTATATTATATTATATTATATTATATTATATTATATTATATTATGTTTCTGCCCCGAAACCTTCGCCTCGTCTTTCGGAGGCGCGGCAGCAACGCGCTGCCCGCTCGGAGCGCCTTGCCGCGGGTCGGAGTGAGCTGGAAGCGAAGGCGCCTTCAGCGGAAACTCGTGGGCTGGTGCTGTGAGCTGTGGAGTCAGAGGCTGTTGCCTGGGCGCTGTGGCTCCGAGCGTTAGCGATGCTGCGGTGCGAAAGGCATGAACTCCAGGCGTGCATGACACGTTTCATTGTTGACGACTGGGCAACTGGTCGGCAGCAAATCGGACACGGAATTTGGGCTGGGCTTTCAGAATCTTAAGAATCATGCTCGGGTGTGCAAGGGAATGTGGATAGACCTGGGGTTGTTTCTTGCGATCGGTGTGTCATGGTGTCCCGCCGTAGTGCGAAATCTGGTTGTGCGCTTGCAGGTGATGGAGCATGAGCTGGCCCTGAAGGAGACTTCGAATCACTTTCCCATGGCTTGTAGCCTCTGACGCCTGACACAAGCTTCCAATGCCTTGTTCTGTGCTGTCATCAGTCAGCTGCCACGGGAGGACGCGGCCGAACGGCATCGCCTTGAGGTTCAGGACCGGCTTGCTGGGGACGTCTGCAGCCAGATCATCAGCTGCAGGGAGACCTGAAAGGAGTGGGAGCGCAGGCATTGGACTCAGAGCCCGATGGGTTCGGGGCCGGAGTCGGCGGCACTCGAGAATGACGACGTGTCGAGCTGTGATGCTTCAATTTGTCCGGGTCTTTGATTGCATGAGCGAAAGAGTAGTATTGCTTTGCTGGAAGCGAGACGTCGCAGCTTCCTCCTCACTTGGAGGTCGTAGGTTTCTCACTTCTGGAACCGAAGCTTGTCACCATCGGCAGGCTCCAGGAGCGGCTTGCAGAGATCGAGGCCGAGGGAGTTCCTTCACAACCCGAAGCCCCCCCTAAACCAGAAACCCAAAAAGACAAACACCCGAGCCCCAGCCTTTCGCCACTAAACAACCTTATAGCTGCTAACCCACCGGGCCCAGACCTCATGCCCCAAACTCCTAAAGTGTAGGCGTTGGGGCAGCAGCGCGATCAAGAGCTCCGCGGATCCCAGGATGTCCTTCCCTTAGTCTCAGGGCTTCTTTGGTACAGGAATTCGAAAAACGGGATTGGGTTTAAGGATTTACGGCTTTGAGGATTTTAGTTTGTTTGTACTAGGGTCCGGATGTAGCGGGTGTAGCAGGGGGAGTTTTGGCTTTTTGACGACTATGATTCAAGAGTTTGGGATTTGAGGTTCGAGTTTGAGGTTTGGCTTGCTTAGGAATGGGACTTTAGAGGACACCTGGTACCACCAATATTTGAGGTTTTCTTTCAAGAGTTCCCTAGATACCGTTGTGCGACGTGTCCGGCGAGATGCTCATGGCAGGCCAGACTGCCTGAAGTTGGCTCTCTATCTTCTGACTAGGTCTTTGACCTTGAGCTTGCCCGGGTCCATCAAGCTCATGCGGATGACAGAAAGATGCGCGAGGCCAGGCCAGACACGTCATGGTGATCTCATTGGAAGCTGCCATGGCCGCAGCCTGGCAGGAAGAACATCGGTTGCAAGCCGAGAGGCACCATCTGGCCCTGGAGGTGGGGCACTGTCTCGCCCGTCTGCGGGATACTTTGGGGAGTTCCCGGAGGGTGGGTGCTCCAGGGTTACTCTGCGGGCTATTCTGAAGACTGCACTCCAGGCGGGACACTTTTGGGATGGAGGGGCTGCAGGGATGCTCTGTGGAATACTCGGGGGTGGGATACTCTGTGGGGAGAATTAGTACTTCCGGCCAGAATTAATTTGGGGATTTGGGAGAAGAGGAGAGGGCCAGGAGAATAACTGCTTCAAAGTCGAAGAACCCTACTCCATGGGTCGGGAATGAGTGGTTTGCCAGGAGCTCCAGCGACAGCAATTTGAGGCCACGTGCTCCGGTGACGTTTAGCGCTTGATTTGGGTCGAGCTCGTTGCCAAAGCATGCAAAAGCTCGGCAGGCAAAGCAGAAGCTCCTGATGTCCTCGTTGGCAGCATTGAACGGACAGCGCGCAGAGGCCGGCTGGTTTGGAAGCCTCATGAGCGGAAGAGTCTTCATCCTGGCAGGGGCTGCGGAGGGACTACTTCCTGGCTTGGGCACAGTACCTCGTGCACGTGCTAGACTCGGCGTTGTGGCCGCAGTTCGCGTCGCATGAGCTCTCCTCGGCTCCCGCCAGCCTAGGTCAGGAGGATTCGCAGCGAAGAGTGGAAGGAGCAGGAGAAGAGAAGCGGTGTTTTACCGCTTTTTGAAGCAGAACATCACATTGCGATGTCGGAACGCTGTCTGTTGTGTCTGCGCGTCGACAGGAGCTGCAGCGGCTCCAAGCGCAACAGGATGCCCTGCACGGGAAGCTCCAGGAGACCGGAGAGAGCGGCTTTTTTGGGAGAGCGACGTAGGAGAGATGCCGAGGGAGAGGTGATGCGAGGTGGTCTACTGTAGAAGTTTGGAGCCAGCGCCGCCAGGAGCGGGAAGCTGCGTTCGCCAGGCAAAGGGGACATGAGCGCTGCAGTCTTTCTTTCATGCTGGTTGGCCATCAGGCACAGGACGAGCCGGGGCGACCAGGAGGGCCGCAGTGTGTTTTTTTGTGGGTGCCGCTCCGCGTCAGCCCCGAAATATTGCGAGGTCGCCACGACAAAGCAGAAGCTCTGGATCAGTCCTCTTGGCTGCAAGGAGAGGTTCCGCAAAGTCCGAGGGGTCAGAAGAGAGAAGTGTCGCGTGGCAAAGGTCAGGTCCTGGGCGCCTGGCTGCTCGTGGCAGTGGCCATGCGCCTGGCGCGTGCCAGAGAGCTGGAGGCCAGCGAGGCCCCGTCTGCTCTTAGAGCGGTTCCGAAAGCTTCGGCTGAGGTCGGCCGGTCGGCCTACACGTTCAAAGGGTGAGAGCACCAAGCTGCGGATGTCACTCAACTATCTTCCTTCAGGGATTTGGGGGGTCTTTTCGGAGAGGGCCTCCGAAGAAGCAAAGCCGAGGCAAGCCATCGCCAAATGAAGCGAATAAATTGTCGTGCAGGCACGTGTAAAGATCAACCAGCTGTCAGTCTTGATGGCATATTCCTTGACGTATACTGTACTTTATATGTACAGGATATACATTTGATGTAGATTTGGAAAGTTAAAAGGTCTGGATGAAGCGAATCTCCACCCTGAAGTTCATAGTCTGCATCAAGGAATCCTAAGCCAGCCAAGAGTGCCAGGCCGACCGGCTCCGGGCGGAGCTACAGCGTCTGAGTCTCGAGAGCGGCAGGGCGCTGAGGCGCGAGGGTGACCTGGTCAAAGGCGAGCCAGGTGTGGCGCTTTATACTTTAGGGCTTTGGGTTCAGGGCTTACTTTGCCAAACCTGCGGCAGTGTACCATCAAATCCCGTGAGGAGTCAAGCCGGCGAAACGCTTGAGCTGCGGCGGCGACAGGCAAGTCAAGGGGACAGGATCCATGATGCTGCGTATGCTCCGTGTTCCGAAGTTGAAGTGGCCTTGTAGGCGCTGCTGCTTCAGATCTTGCGTTCCTGGCTCCGAATTGTTTGGCAGCAGCACCTCCAAGTCGCTTGCCTAGTGCACGCTATGATGTGCAGCTGTCCGGAATCCGGAATGTTGTTGTTTAGACAGAGACAGTCGTCGGCGATCGCAGGTGATTGCTGATCGCTTTGTTACTGACACAGTCGAGATGTATGTTCCGCCAAGGCTCGGCAAAGCGAGACAGATGAGGTCTCTAGGCGTCTTGGTGGCCGGAACTCGCGGAAGGACCTGAACGATCTTGTTGGGAAGAAGAGTCTCGCGGGCCTCCACGTGTAAGTCGACCGGCGCCCACCGGCAGATCTGTGGGAGTTGTATGTTCGTGTTATTTCTTGCCGTATATATGAAACTCAGTCAAGGTGAGTTTCGGAGCACAGTGAGGTGAATTGGGGGTTGACGATTCGTCCGTTGGCATAGACAGGCAAGCTGGGCATCTAAAGACCCACAACACACTGGAGCCCAAGCCACCCGAGCCTACTTGTAGTTCAATCTGAGTTGAGGATGAAAGCCCATTTTCCCGTGCAGGCTTATTCCTAGTGATTCTGTGCCAGAATTTCTGAAGCCCCGTAGGTGTGGATAGATGCATAGACGCACGAATGTGCCTGCATGGATTCGATCCAACCCCATCAGATAAACCAGAACCCGAATGCAACAGATGTGCACGAGCTGCGACCTTTTATATGCTGTAGTTGTCAGAGCTTGGCAAGCAAACGGGTATCTGCCTTCAGCACGGTATCCAGCTGCATCGAACCGGAGCATGCTCGTGCTGCTTGCACACCACATGATCAACGATGACCCGGTAAGTAAGCCTCTCTGAAGACCGGGACAGGACCTTCAGACCGACAGGCTTGGGCAGCAGCTCCTTCTCCAGGCAAGCTCCGCCAGAGACTCAGAGTCTGCTTGCCTTCGCCCTTCGGTTGCCAAAGGGTCCCGCTGGTCGTTTGAAGAGGTGCTGTTGGCAAGTGCCTTCCATGCCTGGTCCACTGCTCAGCTCCTGGGTCACGAGGGAATTCAGTGGTCCAACTGAGGCACTTGCACCGGTCAAAGGTGGGTCCAGACAAAACCGTGGATGCGTGTAAGTGAAATCGTCGACAAGCGGTCCTAGTAGGCCGAGCAGTGTAGCACGGGGGAGCTCAGTCGAGGTCCAAGACGGCCGGGCTCCTGCGACTTGATCGCGCAGCACAGAAGATGATCTCAAAGGCTGCTCTCTGAGCTCCGCTGTGTCCACTCATGTCGCGGGATTGAAGTTCCAAAGCCTCGAGATGGACTTCCTCCGTCGCTCGGGGCGAAGTCGAAGAGACCAGCTTCTGGGCAAGCTCGCGCCTAAATGGGGCCCGCACTGAGTGCTCCTCCTCACGACATCGCTGTCGCATGCTGTCGCAGAGCGCTGCCATGAGGTCTGAGTATCTGGGTCAGGTGTGTCTGGCACGTCTGGTGCTGGCAGTCTGGGCCCAGGCCGGCAGAGTCGAACTTTCACCGTTTGGGAGCGTACTGCGGCTGTCGTGCTGTCGTCCTTGACCTTGCATGTTCTGGTATGGCTCTATGAGGGGCAATCATGCATGGATCAGTTCCAAGAGCTAAAGCGCGATCTTCTCCTGATCATCTCGTTCCTGGACCCTGCGACCTCAAGCCCGAAGCCACGGCGGCAATCGTCGTTGTCAGGGTGCCTCATGCTTGCAAACGGAACTGTGGCAACATAGACGCCTCTCCTGGCCGTGCCATTGTCGAGCCACTGTGCTCACCGGCGAAGAGGATGCGAGGCAAATGCCGACTCTATGCCAATGTTATCGTACTTCGGTTGCAGACGTCTTTGGTGCAATACCACTCATCATGTTGAGCAGGAGGCTGGTGTTCAGCGTTGAGGAACCAGTAGTGAAGCAGATGATCTGCCGACTCTCTCTTTGCGTCTTTGCGGGTTTCCCTCTGCACCCAAAACAGAGAAGCTATTTGAGGCTTTCTGGATCCTGGGCTTGCTGAACAACTTTCTCTGGGTGGTGCTGAATGCTGGAGCAAACGAGATCAACTCGGTTGCTGGCCTGCGTGTGGAGACTGTAGGAGCCGTTTGAAGTGGTATGCCTTCTCGTGGAGGCGTCTATCTTTCCAGTCAGCTTGTCCTTTCCTGTCCATGTTGTTGCAAGTACATGGTGTGTCACAGCTGGTGCAGTTTGATTTCTAGCCACTGGTGATCTCAAGCTTGAAGAGCTTCGAAGGCTGGCATTGCTCTGGTCTATCTGGCCAACGTGCTGCCGTCCTTGACAATGAAGCTAAGCGGTCCGTACTGGTTCCATTATGTCAGTTACAAGCAGCTTGGTGCTCGCAAATTGATTCGGCTGTGTCAGTAGAGTTTCAATTCGAGAACCTTATGGCTGTATGGGTGGAGTCGATGAGCCCAAGCGAGGTACAGGATATGGTTGATCGCGCTGCTTATGGTCCTCTGCCTCATCCAGGCTTCGGGCGATTAGCTCGATGACTTCTCAGCCACAATCCGTTCTAACCCCACGCGATCCTCTGCAGTTTCGGCACAGTCGCCAATGACTGTTCGATGATGTTAAAGTGATGGAGAATGAGAGGTCGCATGGGGCCATGGCCCCTATCAGAAGCTGATCGGAGCACCCTGGCCGCAGTTTCTGGCACATGCACTGCACTTGGAGAGCAAGCTGAGGTCGGAATGGCTTCCATGGCTGCCGGTATTGGCGAGGCTGACAGCATTTTGTGGGTAGAACCTTGACGAGCCAAACTTTTCACTCTTCGGCCGGCTCCAGATTCGTCACAGGCTAGCCTTCTGGCGATGGCATCGTTCTACGAAGCCAAGGCTCGGGCACTCAACTCGTGCAAGCTGTCGAAGAGTTTCGATAGAGACGGACACGTGTATGGAGTCAATGGGGAAAGTCTTCACCAAAGTGAATGGGACGATTGTTGAACCAACTTGATTTGTCGATTCGCTCTCTGACTCTGTGCTCCAGCTTTGCTGTGCTCGTGCCAGCCTTGTCTGACTGCGTGGTCCTCGGGCACCGGCTTCGCGGGCATTGCCGGCTACGTGGCTTCGGTTGCATTCGAGCACGGCCGAGATGCTACGTTTATGGTAGGGTCTTCGCATCCCGGCTTGCTTGAGGTCTGGAGTCTCCTCTTCGACTTCCTCGATCTTTGCTTCCAGGCGGGGGCCGTCTTTGAACAAAGGCCAGTCTGCCCAGAGCTGGAGTACAGGTGGAGCTTATGGTGGCTCTCTGGCTACCTGTGGCCTTCCTGCTGGCCTTCCACTGCCTTCTCGGACCTCCCTGGATCGACGAGGTGCTTCCGCCAGCGCCAGCGGCAAATGCTGGAAACCCTGCGACCTTCGCTGCTGACTCAGGAGCGAGGCGCTCGTGTGGAACCTCGGAGTGAAGATTGCGCATACCTCCAATCAAATGTCTTGCTTCGGTCGGTTCTTGGGCTGTAGCGAAGGATTGTCCTGCCGACAGCGCCGACTCCAACAGTGAGCTGGAAAGCGAAGAGACAGTGGCTGGATCCTCAAAGGACATAGAGCCTCATGCACCAGTGTCTCAGGACATGCCAGCAGGACCTTTTAATCGATAGGTTCTGTGAATACAGGACGTCTTGCTCAGTAGCGGGTTTCCAAGCTGCGGTGCCGTTGTCAGCTCTTCTGCGTACGCATTGTGGCCATCCAGGGCAATAGAGCTTCGCTGAAACGAACAAATTTGTGCGGAAAGTCCAGGTGTCTCAACCCCCGGACTAACCAAACAACACGGCCCAGTCCGTAGTGGAGCACCACGCCTCCGAGCTGGCGACCGCAAAGCTCTCTTTCCAGGCTGCAGCGTTTTGCAACGGAAGGTCTAGGTTTGCGAGACTTGACTAAGTGCTGAGCCTTGGGTTGCCTTTGTTGGCGCATGCGCCACATGCACATCCACTTCCTCTCCCGCCACCGCATCCAGCTGCCCTGAAGTGTAGCGAAGCGTTGAACGTGCACAGGAGAGGTTCGGCTACATCCTTTCGCTGTGGCCGCAACCAGATGCAGACAATCACAAGGGTGTTTGGTTTCAGAGTGGAGCGGTTTTGCCACCAAAGTGTGGGCCAAAAGTGCTTCCATTAGTCTTTTCGACGTTGTTGCTTGAATGCAAGCCTAAGGTACACGGTGCCGCTCTTCTTCGTTTATGCAGCGGAATACACGTGCCCTTGGCGGAAGTATGTTGCCGGTAAGACTATGTCATGCCCAAGCCCGAGATGCAAGGATCCAATCCGGATTCTGGGCTGCCATGGGATTCCCGGTGACAGATCCCACATCTCGGCACCATTTCTACAAGTACCTCGGCAACTTCTGGCATGCACAAGAGGCGGGTCAGGCTATCGCCGGCGGGTCCTTGCGGTTGCAGGTGGTCCAATTTCATGTACCAGATTGGCGTCTTCATTTCCAGGCTCTGCGGGCCTTGTTATCCATAGCCGGGGCAACCAGTCCCCGAATCCCGTACTCTATTACTATCTTTCTGAAAAAGCCTGAGAAGAGCTGGGGACCAATTGGGGCACAGCGAGGTGCAGGTGCAGCTCGGATTTGGCCACAAGTCAGGAACGGGGGTAATCATGGCATTCGTAGTGCTGGTTCTCTGAGAATAGTTTCTGAATCAGGAATAAGTACATACAGACCTTATACCAACATATATACATATATATATATATATATATGTATATAAATATGCTGGTATATATATAATATATATATATATATGTATATATATGTATACATATAGATATGTATGTGTAGGATTTTTATACAGACTTACTGTTTGATTTATGTCAAAGAAGTATCCATAGATGCATGTTTGCTGTGGACTTTGGCCATCTGCTCGGATGATGGAGCCCTTCTGAGCAGGTCGGCTTTTATCCTGATCTGCCGCAACCGTAAAGTGCTATGGTGCGGCGGATTTCTGCAGGCGCAAAGTCTCCAATCTCGCCCGATTTGCCAACGGTGCATGTTTGATGCGACATGATTGTGCTTTCCGTGAGCAGGTTGTGATGGCCCTCTTCTTTGCTGCAGCGGCGTGGTCGCCGACTCGGCTGTGTAAGCGATCCTGTGTGGCGGTGGCTTGCAAAAAGCTTCTGATCAGACGCCAGAGAGGAGCCGGCGCAGTCAATTGAACCTGGATGCAAGTGGCAGCCTGTATCAGATCAGCAAGACCCACAAGCTGTCAGCTGTTTGAGGCAACCCTTCGGCGACTGGTGGCTGTTGGCCCCGGCCAGTGGGTGGGAGGGAGCCTTCCTTAGTCCTTGCTTCAGGGAGGCTGGGATAGAGGTTTTTGTGTTAAGACTTCAGGCTTCACGGGTGCTTGCACCGTTAACGCTCCCTATGATGAGGGGTCGAGTGAAATCTAGACCAAGATCCTTCACGCATGTCGGCATTGGTCCCGAAGCCCCGCACAACGGGCAGAGTAATTACAGCAAGCGGGATTCTGTTCCTTGGCTTTTGTGTTGAAGCTCGAAGCCTGCCTTATCAACTCATCCAAGTCCGAAGCCTTTCCCGGCTGCCAGGCCTTCTTCGTTGGGTGCTTGGGAGGCGGCGTCTATGTTGGCGCCTTCACGCTCATTGCTGAGGCTGGGTTGCGTCAGCGCAGCTGCTGCGTTCTTCCTTGTCCTGTGGATCGACAGAGTCTCCCGTCGTGCAGGAGCAGCCTGCGTCATTCGTGGAGCTTGCGCTCTCTGCGGCATCGGTTGCTGACACCTTTGGCATGACCCTCCTCTGCAGGGGTTTGAATTTTTCAGCCCCAAGCAACCCGAGTCTTCTGCTCTTCGGGCATCTGCAGTGTTGCGTTCCAAGTGTCATGCGCGAGCTGAGGATCGCCGCAAACATCATGGGCCTGCTGATCCAGGGCTGTGTCTTCGGACACTTACAGGCTTGGCGACGAGCCAGTAGTCAATATTTGCTTTGCTGAGTTGGCTGGGAAGACTTGCCGGGTCAGGTCGTAGATGATGTGCCCAACTTCAAGTGTGGCTACGACATCTGGGACTCGGTGAACAAAACCATTCAGGAGAAGACCTACCACGGGCATCTTGGTGGCTAACAGCTCTGTGCAACAGACGGCTTTAGCTGGAGTTCCCCCATTTCCAGCACCATGTGAACGTTCGTCACTCTCCTGGATCTGCTGGACACTGGGCTCTGACATCTGAGGCATTGCTTCCCAGGTGTCAAAGGCTGAGACCATTGGATGAGAGCCGGTGCTGTCTTGTGGGAGAGATGGGGGACGGACCGGAGAACCGGTGTCCGTGTTTGCGGATGCCCGGTCCAGGGCCAGGCTACGTTTTACCCAAAGCGGTGCGAAGAGCTCTGAGACACGTACTTCCTCACGACATGGGGCAAAATTCTGTCTGAGCTTCTGACTCTGCAAATCTGTCTCAGGACCCAGGATGCCATGCGATAGGAAGTTCATGCAGTACAGTTTTTGTTTGTCTGTGTGAACTCCAGTGATCCACCACATAGGCACCCAGTCGCAAAAGCCAACAAGTGCCTGAACGCTGAAAGCCCTGAACTTTCGATTCTAAACCCCAAACCCTGCGAGTCCGCAAACCCGACAAGTAAAAACACCCCCCGGGCCATTGTAGCCCTAAAGCCAAAACCCCAAGGCCCTAAGGCCTTAAACTCTGCCCCTCCCAAAGCCCTACACCCTAAACACCTAAAGCTCCTTCGTTCTTCTCGTATGGCACGTTCGATGATCTCTTGCATAAACCCCTAAAGCCCCAAACCCTAAACCCTAAACCCTAAAGCCCCAAACCCTAAACCCTAAACCCTAAAACGCCCTAACAGCTTCAAAGCCTAAAGCCCCGATGCTTCGGCAGGAAGCCCGAGGCGGCCGACTGGAGAAGCAGCGCCGCAGCTGGAGTCGGGGTCCCAAGAAAGCCCAAGGACCCTAAACCCTAAACCTTAAACCCTAAACCCTAAACCCTAAACCCCGTGTTGCGCTGTAGGCTTCAAGGTGTTGAGGTTTGGGAGATCGAGTTTAGGATTTCAGGGTTTAGGTTCTTGGGTTGTAGGGCTCAGGATCTTCAGGTTTGGGCCTTGGGGTTAGGGTTTAGTTTTTTTTTATTTTATTGTTTGAGCTGGTTAAAGGTCTTAGGGTTCAGAGTGTAGGGCTAAATTTTATTAATTCAAGGGTTCCGTGGTGCGGTTCCAGTCTACAGCGATCCAAACCGATTAGACGAATAGTATGCATGTACACGCAGATTGCATTCTTACATCGACACATAGTATCTACATAGAATCATTATTTCATTGTTTAGTTTAGGCTTTTTTGTCAGCACACTTGATCCGAGGCTCGGAGCTCCGGCGCCGCGCAGACAGGGGTTCCAACTGTGGCTCTCGCCTGGCCTGGGGCTCAAAAGAGAAAGCTTGGGTTCGCTTTTTTTGCGGTTTAGTGCGGTTGAGCGGAATGGGAAGAAGAGTTTGGGCATTACGGTGCACGGTTTGGTTGGGTTTAGGGACGTCGGTTTCTGGTTTTGAGTTCAGGTTTGCAAGTTTTGTCTTGGGGGGCCAGATGGCAGTCGGCTGCGATGCTTCCAATGTTTTTTGCATTAAGTCCAAAAGGCGGACAGGAAACGCTCCTGCTGCTTGTGGTGTCGTTGACTGCATGTGCCTTCAGAAGATATCGTGTTCAATATGTAGCGTTTCGGCCAAGGCTGGCAAATTCTGGACGTTGAAGATGCGTCTGCTTCTCTTCGCGACTTTCATGACATGGAGTCGATCCGCTGCTGCGCTTGCGGCAGAGCGTTTGGCAGAGCGCTTGAGCCACTGCCTCGGGACATCCGGTAGCTGAGCACTTGAACCACACTCAAGTCAGAAATCCTGGATGCCAGCACACGCAACCAGGAGTGCCGAGAGGGCCGGGTCGCGTGGTCTCCGTGGTGTCTGCTATCGAGGAGGGGATGCGAAATGTAGCATGAAGAAGCCTTCAGGCCTTTTTTGAGTCGCGACAAGGAGAGGAGGGGCCGGATCTTGGCACTGGAGGCCTTCCACAGGCGCCGGGGTTTAGTCTCTCGCATATTCGGGCTTGGGTTTAGGACATTTTCGGACGGTTCAGGGCCAGTGACATCTGATTTTCCTGCCAGATGGAAGCACTCCGCCCGGAAAGAGAAAGCATCCTCATCCCCAAGTCGATCACCGGTGATAACCCGGGTCCGATCGCCAGCCCGGGCCTCTGCTGTTGCTGTGTGTGCAGAAGTCGTCTCGGCCGATTGTTGCCGGATTGCTGTGCACCCCCTTCGCATGCGCACGAGCCGGTACCCGCAGCAGCTTTAGGGCTTCAGGTGTTCAGGTTCAGATCATCAACAGCTGTAAGAGCGAAGCTTCACTAGTACCGGCCCGTACCGACTTGCTCTTCTCGACAAGTCGTCACGGACCTGTTGGCTGGAGCTACAGCTACGGCTACGGTTGTGATGATAAGAAATTCTAAGAAGAGTAAGCGCATGGAGACAGTGACCTTGCCCAGCCCATTCATGCCGGTCTCAAAATCTTTGGTGAAGAACCAGCACCGTCGCCGAAATGGCATCCTGGCGCGACTTGCAACAAGCCGTCTTTCTGTGCCTTCGACTGTTCTGGAAATGCCTTGAAGTCATTGTTCTTCCGGCAGAATGCTGAAAGTGGTTCACCCAGCTCAGGAGCCCGGCGCAATGCCTTCTGCGGGTCTGGCAGTTTGCCGGACCAGCATGCGCCTTGCCTGAAGCTCTAGACCGGCGGTGAGATAATCTGTTGCACTTAATCTTCAACATTCACTCTAGAAAAGTGGCCTTTAACCATGGGATTTCACAAGCATAGCTATGGCACGATGGCTCAAACCCGAGATCTTCAATCCAAGCCTTGCAGCCCATAAACATGCCCCAAGCCGCTGTAAGTATCCCAATCCCCTCAAAGCACCCTGCAACACCTCACAAAGCCCGGAAAAGCCCTATAGCACCCTTACTAGAGCCCTTGAAGCTGATCCTCAGGCCCCACCCTAAACCCTAAACCCTAAACCCCAGCCCCGCCTGTGAGGGTTTGCCAAGGCTGCTTCAAGGCCAAGCTGCTCGCGCGCGGCGCGGGGCCCGCGGATCCGCCTGGCGAGGAGCGGGCAGAAGGTGCATGCGGCCTCTTCGAATATAGTTCTGCATATATATACCTATATGTAAACAGACAAAAAACATATGTTTATCTAGATCCAAACTTGTACATATATATATATATATATATTTATATCGTACACAACAATATATATATATATATATATATATACATACACAGTATACCAATATGCATATATCTATCTATCTATCTATCTATCTATCTATCTATCTGTCCGTATGTAAACAAATGCATGTTTTCAAGGTGCATAGGTATATGTAGTCAACACATGTATAAATAAATGATTGAACGGAAAATGAATAAGTAGCTGAAAACAACCTAAATAAGTATATACATGTGTGTGTATGTCTATACTAGCAGGTGCATGTATCATACAGTGTACAACATCCTAGTTGTAGCATGTAGTGTAACATATACATCTCATATATATATATATATGTATATACAAGTAAAGATACACGTATATGCACACATACCTTTGTGTACGTCAATGTGCTTCTGCCAGTATACGATACGTAATACATGATAAACGGTACATAGTTTTCATTGTATATAGTGTGCATTAGTTTACAAAATGAAGTACGGCATGTGACCAAATGAACAGAGCAGAATAGACTTGGGTGCATACGCAGCATCCGACATATGTTTTTGGCCTACTGGACCTTTTATATTTTAAGACGTCTTGCGGAGCAGCGGAGTGTCGAAAAGCTCGATTGCGTGGCCTGCCCGATTTGAAATTATGCCACTTCAATGTTCCGGAGGAGTGCTCCGTGGGTCCCGTTTGTTAGAATTCTGTGGGCGAATGGGGGCCTGCTGTTGACGAAACAACGAATAGGTCAAACTTTCCTGCTACCGCACCTTTATGCCGTACTTTGCTACACCACACTACACCATATGTACTACACCACACTACGCTACACCACACTACGCTACACCACACTACACCACGCTACACTGCACAATGCTCTGCTCTTCTCTACTCCATTCTTCTACAATATACTGTACTAGCTTATAACAGAGGTAATTATGATTATGATATGAGTTTTTCATTATGAAAGCGCTTTAACAGAAATATTTCAATCAATAATGTAACATAATACAACATAATATAGGTATCCTATAGTGTATATATGCACATATTTTTGTCTGTGTACATGTATATACGCTATATTCTAATGATCTAATAGAACACTGTATTATAACATGGTAATTCCAAACAGAATAGAATACAACATGATATGGTGCATATAATATGCGGTAAGGCTACTATTTTGTACCATCGCAGAATAGAACCACATATTATCATTCTTAATAGAAAATAATAGCCGTGAATAAGAGTAGTTGTTTACTAACATTGTAGCCAAGTCCTGCATATTGTTGATGTAGTATTCATATAATCATATAGCAATACGAGTCTGTTTTACATAACGTTAGACTGACTGGTAACATATTTTGCAGTATAACCAAAACTGGCATTTACTATTGATGTAAGAATTTGTCTTACCTCAATATACATATCATACTGAGTTAATATCAGTATAAGACAGAATAACACAATGCTTGTATGACAGATCGCATCAAGTCTAAACTAAGTCACGTCAATACAGTTTGTTGCTTCCGCCTGTATTTTGCTTCGAAGCCCATTTGTACGCAAAGACTTGGGTCTCGAGCCCCCCCACCCCGCCGCCGCCGCCCCCACGCCTAGCGAGCCCCCGCGGCCCCCGCACCCCCTGCACCCCACCCAACCCACGCCCCGCAGGCAAAGAAAAAGGCAAACACAAAAACAAAAGGCCAAAATTAATTCTCCACCCGTTTGTTTAAATATTCGAGAAAACGGTAGTAGAATATATTTGGTAGAATAAGGAACATATCTAACCATCTGTTATACTTTGTAATTACATACTTTATGTACTGCAATTTAATATATCACTAGTGGAATAAAGCAGAGCAACATCTCCCCAGAAAGCTTTCTGCATTTCCAGGAGTGGTGGCCCGACCTTGGAAAATGCAGCGTGGAAGCAGTAGCAGTTTCCTAAAATTTCAGAAAAACTTATACGAGGCATTCAATAGGTCCATACGACCCGAAACGAAAGGATGCTTGTTGTAAGGACCCTCATAATACTGTATCAAGAAGACCCTACAGCTTCAAGCCCCAAACCCAGAACCCTATGAAACCCCAACCTCTTACTCCGAGCTCTGCAGCCCAGAACCCTAAAAATAAGTCCTCAACCCTAAGCCATGAGCATTCCAACTGGAGGCCACTTGATGGCGCAGCTGCGCGTGCATCCCGCTCCGCGGATGATTTGGGAGTTGCAGCATTTTTGGTGTCCTTTTGCGAGGATCCTACTATTTCAGAGTCAACGTTAAGGCCTAGGGTAAGGTTGGGCATGTCTGCTGAGGTTCTGTCATGGTACCTACGTTAAACATTGGCTGAGCCCACGACCCTAAAGTCTAACCCAAAGCCCTAAAACCTCAAATGCAGGATCAAAACCCAAAACCCTAAGACCCTGAAGCGCTCAAGCCCCGAATCAACCTCGACCTGAAAGGAGGACGGGCGGCTTCTCAGCCTGGACCGTCTTTGGGCGGCCATCCGTGCTCGGCCAGAGGCGAGAGTCGGAAGTGGAGATGCAGAAACGACATCAGCAAGAGTGACAGAGAGAGACATACATATGTTTATACACGATTTGAAACTCTGATCAGCTCCTCTGCGGTTTCCTTGTCGGGAGTCCCTTCTGACTCTGACCTAGCTGAAGACTTGCTGCCAGAGGCCGTGAACACAGCGACTCCCGAGGGAAAGCCATTGACCATCGCGGTGAAGAAAGGCTTGCGGGCGGGCTTTTGGCGTCTATCTGGCCCGAAACCCTAAACCCTAAAACAATCAACAAACCCCAATCTGTATTGGGGCTCAGGGTTTTGGGGCTTTGGCTTAGCTCAGCGCAGATGTGAGCTTCCTGTCAGTATCTACAAGCAGAGATTTGGGTTTAGGGTTTGGGAGATACATACTGCGCCGGGCCGATACTTCGACCCGCCAGCTCAATGAATAGGTCGGCGTACTGGTAGCAATTGCTCCGCAAGCCGGCGCAGGGAATTCCTCACTTTCAAGCACTCCGCTACTCTGCAAGAGTCTTTCAGCTGATATAAGGCCGGGTAGCTCAAAACTTTCGGCCGGGGGCATCAGCAAGGCTGGCCAAATAATACCTGGAAAGAATACATAAATTCATAACCTCCCCCAGTACTTTCTCAGCTGTGCGTATGTATAGGGGCCTACTGCTAGTTGTGTTGTTGTACAGGCTTGTAGATAATATTTAAGAGCCAACTTATCTCTCTGCTCAAACCTTGCTCCTCCAATCTCCAAGTCAAGTGCTGGCATCAGGCTGCCGTGGTGCTGCCGACACTGGGCTTGTTGGTGGGGTTTCAAGGGGCTTTCATGGGTTCTTGAGAGTCTGGCGTTTCAGAGTTTAGGGCCTTCGGCTGAGCAGTGCGCCCCTTGTCTGAGGAGCTCTTGCGAAAGAGCGGCGCTGTCTTGACCTGCGCTGGTGCGGAGACTTGCATGCAATTGATGCACCGTGTTGTCAGCACATGATAGCTGAGAGCACAGGTCGGGTTGTGAAAATGCATGGATTGCCAAGAGTTAAGGACCAGCTCCTGCGCGAATCAGCACAACGAGGAGGGACAGACCGTGGGTCACGTCCACGTATCCTTTGTTGCCAACCCGAAACATTATGCCCTGAATACTAAACCCGAAGCAGAACTCTGACCTCCCTTGTTTCCTGCAGGGAACGTCGAGGCCTTGCAGTTGCTTCTCTTCGAGACCTCTGGATGCCTGAGAAAAGAGCCCTGGGCGAGCTTGAACGCGAGACCCGTGAAGCCACCCGGCTTCTGAGTAAAGGCAGCGCTAGGCTGAGGGTACGCGAAGGCTTTACGGTTCTATAAGAGGTGCAATTGTTTGAAAGTCCTGGCATGCATAAGCCAGGCGGTTCCCCTCTAAAGTGTCGTGGGAAGTCGTTTGGAGCATAGAATGTACGGTGGAAGTGAAGATGGCCCCCACCAGCTCAGCACAATAACCTTGGCGCAACGTGATTCATTGCCTGGTTCTAGTGCGTGCATGTGAGCTGCTCAGGCACGGAGGAACTCCCTTGGACGTGGCAGTAAGCCAAAACCAGCAGGAGCTCGTCTCGGGTTGCTTGTTTCATGCATCTTCCCTCCTGGTTGTATTACATGCTGCAGGAATGCGTCGAGCTTCTGCTGAAGGCGGGTGGTCGACATTCGCTTCATCGCATCTTGGCAAAGCATAGTTGGAGTAGTCTCTGCCCAAGCGAACCAAGCTCTAGCAACCCCGGAATCATCCATCTTCTATGCTCTTTGCCGGAGTTCCGCCTCTAAAGGGCCTGTCTGACTGACATCTCCGCGCAGCTTGGTTACGGTTTACCTATCAAGGTGCAGCAGAATTGGCGGTTCCGAGTATGGTCCGCGCTTGGCTGAGCGAGGGCGCGGCCGTGGAGGCAGTGAAGACGGGAGCACTTGTGGGTTTGTCAATCAAGTCGCCAAAGGTCTCTGCAACCATCACATCGGTGCGCAGAATGCATTTCTTTAGATCGCCTCGCCTATCCAGGAGTGCGACAGCAGTGGTGCGACACCACTGCTTCTGGCAGCAAAAGGCACAGGTCGCACAGCAGAGCGCTACGTGGCAAGCAAGTTTTATGTTAAGTCTGCGTCTAGCCAGGAGTCTCGATGAGCTTCCGTTCACAACGACACATGCAGTTCCGCCCAGTCCGCGATACGCCTGGGTCGAGAAGTCGTCATGCTACTTCTGTTCTGACTGGTGTGAGCTCTCGTGAATCGTTGGTTTGACGGACGTATATTTTCTGGTGTATTCCAAGAATCACGGACACTGTATCACCTATGCAGGGGAGAACTAGATCACCCTCAGGAACAGAATGCCTGCAGCTGCTGTTGCGTGCTGATGCCATGGTCGATGCCTTGCCAATTACCCAGGAGCGGAGCACATGGCAGTTCTTTCAGAAAGTCGCATGGTGTTCCAGATTTGCCTAGCAGCCTGCAGCACAAGTGCCTACACGGGCTGAACTCTGGGCTTGTGGGCGTCGTTGGCATTGGCAGTTTAGCATCATGGCAGCGAAGTAGGTTCCTTTCGAGGAGACGCCGTTGATGCACGCGGCAAGACGAGGCGTCTGCGAGCATTGCGAATTGCTCCTGGAGGTCGGGATTGCGTGTGGCTCGTGCAGCTCCTTTACGGATCCTTGTTTGCCGTTCTGACGACAGAGGCAAGGGCAGATTGCCAGCGCAGGGATCGCAAAGACCGGCAACCCATTGACCATGCAGCGACAAAGGACTCCCAGATCCCATCATAAGGGAAGCCAAAATCGCATCAGCATGTGGCACGGCTGCAGCGCATCATGTCTGCGTCCCTGCGAAGCTTTGCGAGCGCCTGCGACTGCAATGTGGAAGGATGTGCGTGCCTTGCTGTCAGCGGCCATGAGTGCTGGGCAAGGCGCGCGAGCTTGTTCTGTCATGCGGATGTATGTTAGCAGCCAGAGACGCAGCCTGCAAAGGAGCTGAGTGTCAGCGAGAAGAGTGGATGTGGGCTGAGGAGCACATGACATGACTCCGGCTTGCTCAAGCTTTCTGTGCCGTAGGGCGAATCTCGAGTCCCTGAGTCCGAAGCCCGAACTGTGAAGGAGGACCAGGCTCTGCCGGCGGCTCCGAACCCGTCGAACCCTTACGCCCGGCACCAACTACCACAGGTGCCCTACCCAGCAAGCTGGCTAATTATGTGTCAGACTCGCAGTGGACATTTGATTGTTTCGGATCTTGCGGCCTCATATCCTTGCATAAACTTGCATGCTCGTTGACGGCAGGACTGGCACCAGATGACTGCTGGCTACCACATGCTGCCGCACGCACAGCAAGCTTTCCATCAGCAGCTTGGCTTTCTTGGCGCCAGCTACTTCATGGTCATCTCTGCCAAGCTTCCAAGGCCCAGTCTTGCCATGAGGGCATCGTGGGACCGAAGAGCATGCATAAACCCTGACCTCTCGTTTCTGGGGATGAGGTATGGGCCCACAAGCCAGTGGACAACCTGGAATGCGATGTCTCCACAGCAGATCCCTCTAAAGGGCTGCTACCCTCGCTGGGCTTGACTGGAGGATGCCTGGTTGTCTCACTTGACGATGGAAGTCGAAGCAGCATCGATTGGAACGGCAAAGCAAAGTGCGAGCCACACAGGATTCCAGGTGATTCCGAACAGGACACCTCGTTGCCAGCAAGTGAGTTTCATCCCCGTAGGAGTGCTTGCAAAGGCAGCCCCGATTGTCAAAACTGGTTGTTTGTAGCAGCTTTGCACGAAGACTGGTGGTCTCGGCTTTGGATTGCAAGACTCGGATTGTTCTATTTGTTCAAGTTCAAGCCGCCTTCACGCTGAGGTTCTGAGACCTGCCTACCAAATTGTTGAGCCGATTTCTTCTCCACCGCCGGTTGTTCAAGCCGGAGCCCCAGCTCAGGGGGCACCTAGTTTGGCGTCTTTGTTGACTCAGCAGCTTAGGGGGCTCTTCTGATGGTGAGGGGCTGGGGTTGGAAGTTGGGAGAATCTCCGGGGTGGCACAGAGCCTTCTCAGAATCGTCTACCGTATTTCCTGCTCTACGCGATGAACGGTCACTCTGGCTGGCGGATGCCAAACACGTTATGCTGACGTTCCCTGTCTCTGCATTTTTGGCGTTGTGCGTTGGCTGTTGATGATGGAGTATGTTGCTACGTCTCCATCCGGTGCGCGCCGTGTCGTTGCGGGTGAGGGTAAGGTGTGTGCTCTCTGTGCTCGGAGACTGTAATATCGGCTTGTGCCCTAAGAGGTCGAGAGGGACTTGTGTGGTGGGCCGCCGCGCATCGGCAGGTCGATTCTCACTCCCTCCCTCACTCACTCTGTCAGGGTTTAAGGTTTGGTTCTGTTGGGTTTTAAGCTGATAGTGCTATGTAGCCAGAAAGACTCGACCACCTTTCCTTTCCTCTTGTTCTGGTTTACCCGAGGCCATGCGATGTCCAGCCTGTGGCAACGTGTACATGCGCGGATCCCTACTAGAGATTTGAGAGATGCATGTCGTCCAGGTCAACTTGCAACCCTGATCAAACTGACAGCTTACTTGCACCAACAATATGTGGGTGCAAATGTGGCTTTTCTGCTCAAGCGCAGAACCAGTAACCTCCAGATTTCCGCAGCGCATGCTGAAATAGCACAAATCCTCAATGCCTCAACCAGGACCGACTCCGTGTACTGCCGGAAATGTGGAAGGAAACGTGACATCCTCTCTCCAGCTTCTTGACGGCAAGAACGAGAACACATATACATGTGGTCCTGTGATCGCAGCCTGAGCTCGCTGCGACCTCTCCAGGACTTGTCACGGCCGTTCTCGGTGACGCTACCGGCGACTCTGCCAACAACAGCGCCGCCACCACCGCCACCGATGCCTGTCAGGCACTGAAGAGGGCCCGAAGGATGCGAGAGCATGCAGATGTCTTGGTTTTCTGATCCTGGACCCTCTGTCAGGGCTGGGGCGACGGGCTCTCCAGTGTCCGCCGCACTGCCTGTTGAGGCAAGCCGCGGTCTGAAGCTCGCAAAGAGGCTACAGGTTCAAGATGCGAGAGTCAGGCAAAGTTGAAGTCACCGCTTGTCAGCAAAAAGCCTCCAGCAATCTGATCTCTGCGGCAAAGTGGTGTTCTGAACGAGGTATCAAGCCCACGTGCGGGGGCAAGGCGCAGCGCACACTTGAGCACTGAGTGAGCCGAGAGGGAAGAGCGCAGTCCGCTGCTTGTGAGGCCAAGCCCGGGTCATTAAACACTGTGATGGTCCCCTTTCCGCATTGCTCTTAATTATGATGATAGTGCAACGTGTCGTATGTTCAGGGGCAGGATAGGATCCAAGATGGTCTCAGAGAGGGCAGGTCGAAGGTCATCCATGTCCATTTGCAGCACTTGCCATGTGGTGCTGCTGAGTGGCAAAAGCACTCCGGTCCGTGTAGGAGCCGACACGACCCTCAAAGAAGTGCAGTCGCGCGCAGAGGCTGCCTTGCGGACTGGCATCAGCAAGCTGATCAATTCAGCTGGAGAGACCCTTTCCCGCGCCAGCACAGTTGCAGAAGCCGGACTGCGAGATGGAGACTCGCTAAATGCCGTGGCACGCTGGCCGGAAATTGCCTCGACTGCTCCTGCGTTTGCTTTCCGACGGGTTGACGGCTCCGTGGTGACCTGGGGACACAAGGACGGGGGTGGAGACTCTAGCAAAGTACAGGACCAGCTTCGAAACGTCCAGGAGATCCGCAGCACAGCAGGGGCCTTTGCCGCAATCCGCTCTGATGGATCTGTGGTGACTTGGGGAGGCCGGGAGTTTGGTGGTGATAGCACCAAGATCCAGCACCAACTGCGACATGTCTTGGCCCTCCAAAGCTCTTGCGCAGCCTTTGCAGCTCTCCGCTTGGACGGATCCGTGGTGTGTTGGGGAGCAGACGATGTCGGGGGGAATTGTAACAAAGTCCAGAAGAAGCTAAAGAATGTGCGACAGATACAAGCCTCCACGGCGGCGTTTGCAGCTCTGCTAGCTGATGGAACAGTCGTCACCTGGGGAGCACCGGACTGTGGAGGGGACAGCGACGCTGCGCAGGATCGGCTGAAGAATGTGAAAAGCATCATTAGCAGTGGCTATGCCTTCGCTGCCATCTGCCAGGATGAAACGGTGGTTACCTGGGGCAATGTGGCAGATGGAGGCGACAGCAGAGCTGTCCAACACAAGCTGAAGTCTGTGAAAGGCATCGCTGCGACCGATTCGGCTTTTGCAGCGCTGCTAGGGGACGGTTCAGTGGTCGCTTGGGGTGCAGGCGGAGCTGGTGGCGACAGCCGACCCGTTCAAAGTCGTCTCAAGGACGTGAGGAGCATTCGTGGCTCTGTTGCTGCATTTGCAGCCATCTTGGGGGACGAATCGGTCGTTACATGGGGATGCCGCAACTGCGGTGGAGACAGCAGCGCCGTCCAGCACCAGTTGACAAATGTGCAGCAGATTCAGAGCAATGACTCTGCGTTTGCAGCAATTCGTGGCGACGGGTCGGTGGTCACCTGGGGAAGTAGGCGGCATGGTTCAGACAGCAGTGCTGTTTCGCATCGGCTCCGACAGGTGCAGCAGATCCAAGCCTCGACTGAAGCGTTTGCTGCCCTCCTGACGGATGGCTCAGTAGTGAGCTGGGGTACAGATGTCTATGGTGGCGACAGCCGCGCCGTGCAAGGGAAGCTGAAGGGTGTGCAGCACATCCAGGAAAACGGCTTTGCCTTTGCGGCGCTGCTTGAGGATGGGTCAGTCGTCACATGGGGGGACCCAGAGAACGGAGGTGACAGCAGTGCCGTGCGAGAGCAGCTTTCACAGACGGCATGGGACATGCAGACACAACCGCCTAAGAAGAGGCGGCGCATTGTGGGAAAGCAGCCTGCAACAAGCCGGCTGTCTCCCGATGCTCTCAAATGATACGGCGGCAGAAACTTTGCACCGTGTGTTAGGACCATAGATTGAAGAAGCTTCTCAGAAAACGGAGTAAGCTGGGGCACATCCGCGGCCCTGCGCTCTTTCTTGCATTAAGGCTTCAAGGTCAAGTCTGCAGCATCGGCTTCAAGAGACCATCCAAGACAGCATGACGGGCTCCCAAAGTTCCATGAAGCAAAGCCTCTCAGGCTCTGAGGCAGGGTACAGTAGTTCCTGAAGCCAAAATTGTAGGCATCCTTGCATCACAAGAGAGAGAAGAATTCCGCAGGATGTCTTTGTAGGGCGAAGCGTCGATCTGCGGCCCTGAACTGGGGGATGCAACAAAGCCAAGCGCTTCTGGCACTGCGGCGGACCATGCTGCGGAGAGCGAAGTTCGATGGATGCCCGTCTTGTCGTTTTCTCGTTTGGTTTTCTGAAGCCTCGGCGCTTGCACTTTCACTGCCTAGGAGAGCAGACTGCAGGGCCTGGCCCGGCAGAGCTGGGCGGTGCCCTGCCCTGGCTTCTCTTCGGATCTCTTAGGATTTTCCTCCGCCCAAACGCCGAGGCGGCCGTGGAGCTTTGGGCCGCAGATCGCGGATCGGAAACGGTGTGGGGTCGCTTGGCAAAGCTACGCTATGCGAACACTTCATGGGAGCAGCTGCGGGCCTTTTTTGCTCCCAGGCGCCTCCTCCGCCTCCGTTCTCTTGGCTGCCTGCGGAAGAGCGCAGGCCTGGCGCGTGGCCTTGGCGCTGCTCGGAAAGGTGGGCCCCTACACAGCATTGTTGCTGGGCCTTATGTGTCCGTGCCATACTTAGACATGACAGGTGCAGCAATGCCAATTGCAGCCCACGCTGCGAAGCCCCTTGTGCTAAAACTGGAACAAACATCGCATTTGAGTGGATCTGGCAAACGTGCAGCCGGCACTGCTCACTAGACTAGAAAAATGCGGGATATTGTGGGTGTGTACCGAGAAGATCAAGGCCATTTCAGAGAATTAGGGGCACTTGTATCTTGTTTAGGGTTTCTTATAATGCGTGCTGAAAGCTCCTGTAAGGCTTCAACGCCACCATGGCCGCTGTTGCACGCGCCGAGCAGCTGCAGCAGGTCCTATGTTGGGCCTGTGCATCCGCAACTTTCAAGCCCAAGCGATTGATTCTGTGGTAGTTTTGGGGGTACATTGCCCCATCCCTGAGTGCTGAACTGAACTCCATCTCTCAAAAAGCTCTCAGAAGTGGCTGGAAGCACCTCTCTTGTGGAGCCAGGCCCAAGTCCTTCTTTCAACGCTCCGCCGTGCTCGCGCAGTGCCGGCGGCAAGTGTCCAGGAGCGCGTCTTAGGGCCTAGGGAAGCTTGAGCCGTGCAAGAAGCAAGCTGCAGGCACTGCTGGGCGTTGCTGTGGCAACTTCGCGCTGGCAGTCTCATGGCAGATCAGAGCATTTTTCTCGTCTGCTCGACAAGTGCAGGGGGAGACGACATGGTGTAGTGTGTAAGCGCTGCTGCATGCCTATTGCTGCTTGGACTGCTTGGCTGCTTGCATGTCCGCAGAATTTCAGTTCATTCAGCTTGGGTGACGTCGCGGCCATGCTGACGCGGTCTCCCGAGAAGAAGGACCTGACACGGTCGGTGCTTTTCCAGATTCCTGAGGAGATGAAGCTCAGTCCACTGCCCCCGCTGCCAGCTGGCGATGTTCGGGTTCCATGGGAAACGATGCAAGCAAATCTTTTGGAGATTGTCAAGAAGCTAAACTTCTCTGTTGTCTACAAGCTCCTACGGGCCTCGGAAGACCAAAAAGACGTGGGCAAGCTGAAAGATGCAATGGCGATGCTCTGTTCGGCCTCCCGAATGTGCAGGCAGAGGAAGGACCCGCTTGAAGTGGCGGAGAAGCTCGAGCGCTGCTGCAAAAGATTTCAAGAGCTTGAGCTAGACAACTGTTTGTTCATAGAGAGGATTGCCGGCCAAAATCATTTCATCCGGAGAGTGCCGGACCAAATTGGCCGAGTTCTTTCGGAGATGATCGAGAGACTCCACTTGGCCGCAGTGTGGGCCTTGGTCCTGGGCCATGCCCAAGAGTCGCGGACAGAAAAGGGAAGCGCGCCGAGGGTTCGACAGAAGCTAACGGCTTGTGGCTATCCGCCGTCTTCAGTCTGATAGCTGTTATTGTGTGCCAACGAGCACAAGTTCATGGGCCTGCAGCTGCGAGCCGCATTTCATGAGAGAGTTGGCCAGAGGCCACTGGATCATGTTCCCTTTAGTCGCTTGCAGCTCGTTGCCTGCTGTTCATGGACACTTGCCCTGCTTGCAACTGCATGCAGGCCTGTAAATGTGAAGACATCCACTTACAGGATGCTCGAAAGAAAGGCTTGCTCACTGCCAGTGCACAAACTACTAGTGGCACTAACTCCTCCTACTCCTCCTCCCCCTGCTGCTGCTCCTGTTACTGCTACTGCCGCTACGACGACGACGACTACTATCATTACTAGTACCACTAGTACTGCTAGTACTACTAGTACTTCCACTACTGCTACTGCTGCTGCTGCTACTACCACTACTACCACTACTACTACTAGCTACTACTAACTTCTACTACTAACTTCTACTACTACTACTACTACTACTACTACTACTACTACTACTAGGAGCGTAGTGCATAATTGACGCCATGTTTTTCCTTGCTTTACATGCATAAAACTCGGGTTTTAAGCACATTTTTCTAATTATTGGGGGGGCGCCCTTTTCTGGAAACCTTCATTTGGAAATTGTGTCTTTCGGTTTTGGGGCTTCAGGTTCAGGGTGGAGGTGTCTGGCCTGAGGGTTCAGGCTTATAAGGGCCTTGGAATTGGTATGAGGGCCGTGGA